AGAGAGAGAGCACCACTGAGAAGGCCAAGGCTGTGTTTCAGGTCAAGTTTGCATCTCCCCAGACTTTTCTGCTTCTCACTTCTTAGTGCGTGTCCACAGGGGTCACCCTGTGGTCTGATATGACGATTGCATGTACGTGTGGTTGGACTTTGTTTCAGTGGCTTGGACTATGAGAGAAATTACAACTTGTTTTGTAAATTACTCCAGAGAGCATGGAATTGATTTCTGCTTATATTTGTTTGGGAGTCTTTTATGCAGCTTGGCCTTCCTTTTTGATTTAATTTCATTTTTGTCATATTTCTTCCCAAAGTATGGAAACTGGCTGGCAAATGGAATTAGTTTGCAAACATATTTCAAGCAAGTCCATATTTCAGTTAAAATACCCTTTTAAATATTCAACCTTTCCAAACATTTATTGGTGTCTGACAGAAGGAAACAAATATGTTATAACAACTGGAAATGGCATTTTAAAAACATTAAACTCATTTATTAGAGTATAGAAGATCAAGATTCCAGCCATTAAAACAGGTGAAAATCTATCATTTGAAAATAAAAATCATCATTAGGGGAAAAAAAGGAAAAGTGGTATACCTGCATATACAACCAAGTGTAAGAATTACACATAGCTGGGAAATGTACTGCTTTAGGCTGCCTGCACAATCATTTTATTTCATAATTTCAGAGTCTGGGAAATTCAAGTTCAAGGTCTTGGCAAGGTAAGCTTCATTCAGAGGCTTCTACGTTTGGTGTGTGAGTGGGCACCTTCTTACTATGTCATATATGGCTTCTTTTTGTGCTCATGCAGACATAGGGAGAGTTTGGGTGTCTTTTCCCCTTAACAGAAGGGCATGAGTCCTATCAGATTAAGATCCCATCTTCATTCAACCATAAATACCTACAGGAAGGCCTTCTCTCCAAATATAGTCACCTTGGAGGTTGGAACTTCAAGATACAAGTTTAGAGGAGACACCAACATTTGATCCATAACATATGCTAGTTAAATGTGTAGTTTTAAGTATCTATAGAGTTAGAATATAACTATTTGACTTAATGTGAGTCAAAAACCAATGGAAAAAAACTTAATAGATAACACACTTCATGATTTGGTGTGTAAATTATGCCACCATAAAGACAGAATAGAAAGATAATGGAGAGTGTAGAGAAGTAAAGGTAGTGGTTCTTGGTCTCATGTCAGCAACACAGTCCTGCTGCCACTATCCTTTTATGATAATAGTAATAATATCCTATACTTCATAGCGGTTTACAGAATATTTTAATGTACCTGTCCTTGTTTACATTGGCATTCCAGAGGCTTTCCCTCAATTCCTCGTGTCCGTTACGTGGTGGCAGGGTTCAGGGAGAGGGACTACTAAAGCATTCTTCCTGTGGATGTCTGCAGCTGTGCTGTGCTCTGGTCACAGAGCCTCTTTTTCACTTTAGGGCTGCTTCTCACCTTGTGGCTGAGGACTTGAATAGAATTGTCTTGCCCCAGTGCAGGAAAGTCTGATCAACAGACTAGGTTTACCTGTTGCCTGCTGCCCACCAGCCACCGTCAGTTGTATGAAGCTAGGAGCTACCTCTGCTGTCTTCAGCATTGTGTCCCGAGTACCTGGCACATAATAAGTACTCAATAAATATTTGTGTAATGAAGACTCACACCTTGCAATTTTGAGCCTTATGGAAGTAACTGTCAAGTTTAGGAGGTAAACCCCCCCCCCCTTTTTAATACTATTGAAAAAAGGAGACCAGAATAAAGCTATTTGTGGAAGTAACTTGAATAAAATACAGGGTTATTTTTCTTGCAAGTATCTAAGCTCAACTAAATTTAAGCAAAAGGTCCCAATAACATGTTAAAATATTCAGATATGCTTTTCTAATTGAAAGCCTGGTCTTGGTGCAGTCTTAGCATGGTCAGGGTACCACACATTCTAGGCTTGTCCATGATGTTGTTTCGCCAGGTATGTTGTGGCTAGAGCCGTGGTCTGCCCATCAAACGGCTTAGCCTCTGCTTCCGGGCTCAGTTCCTGGCTCTCCTGACCTCACCACATAATCCTGGTAAGCTCTGGCCATGGTAACTCCAGCCCAGGATGAAAGTAATGGCTACCACAGGCTGGGCCCAGCATTAGTGTGAGCTTGTCTGTCAAGTGATCGTATGACGATTGTGTTGATAACAGTCAGAAATACCAGCCTCACTGGAAACACGAATGTTCTGAGTGTGTGATAGTTCCAGTGATCCCTTCCTGAATGGCCCTTAATCTTGAGACCGAGAAGTGCGTTCCTCTCTGGGCATTGGTTGGGAGGCACTGACATTCCACAGTTATTTGAACTAATCCCTTGTAGAGGTTCCTGGGATCTTTCCACTGTTGCTGTCTTCTCTTCTAAACTGGTCATCGGAATATGATAAATGTGAGTTTTACTGCTAATATTAGACATTCCTTTAGCCCCAGCTCTGTACACTGGGATGTTCTCATCATGAATATCAAAGAAGTACAAAGAAGGCAGGTTTGACTGTGTCTTCAGCTGTCATAGTGTGCAAGGGTAAGGAAAGATGCTTCCTTGGAACAGGAAATCTGGCTGTGACATTGCTTTGTCCTGTGTTTTAAAAGGAAATGATATTTCAGGGTGTGCAGGGGTTGTCCCTCAAGGCCTCTTCTCTCAGTGATGATTACTGCAGTCACACAGAGGTAAGTGGGTATCGTGATGGAAGATGCCTTTGGAGAGGGCAGGAAGACATAATGACATACCATTCTGTGGCCCTGGGGCCCAGAGTGATGAGCATTTAACTGGCCAGTGTCCTTGCTCAAACCTGAGTCTCTAGACCAGGCCAGGTAGGGTCAACCTCAAATGCACTAAGTTTGAGCTACTCAAGTTAGTGGTGCCTTGTGCAGATGTTTGAAACCTGGTCAGAAGCTAAGCACAATCCTGTGACTCCTCTCTGGATAGAGAAGTGGGTGTGTGTGGCAAGGCAGCAAGAGGAGGAGCCAGATGCCCAGAAGAGCAAGAGAAAAGAAGCACAGAGCTTTAGACACACAAAGGGTCTTGGAAAATTCCAAAGTTTCAATGTGAAGTTTCATGGTTGTTTAGTTATATTCTTGTTGGATCACTGGGTCACAGTTTTGCCAGCCAGATAGACCAATAAGATCCCACTGGGAAGTGGCATCGCCACTCATCCTTCAGGCCACCAGAGCTTGGCACACAGTGATGCTCCCACATTGTGAGGCCCTGAGCTTTGCAAAACCTGGTCCCTGAAGCACGGCTCCCTAGAAAGTACCACAGAGGGCCTCTTGTTCCAGTGTCGCTCTCAGAAAACCATCAAAGGCTGTGTGAACAGGAGGAAGGCAGAGCTGTCTGCCTTCACAGAAAGTGACAGTTCCTTCTTGGGCAGGTCCACTGCATCCCAGTTCACGGAAGCCCTGGGAGGGTGCCATGGGTACAGGGCAGGAACCCTGGGCAGATGCAAGGCCTCGTATGGGGAGGTTGAGCCAGACAAGTGGAAATCAGCAATGAGATCGTGCAGTGTCTTCTGGGACCAGCTCCTGAGCAAATGTAGGCATCTGCCCGAGGCCTCCAGAAATACTTTACCAGAAGACTTTGCAAAGGTTGGAGTTTGCAGACAAACAGAGTAGAAATAACACTAATTTTTTGTGTAAATTTACAAGAAACAAAAGCAAGATCATGTCTTCTACATGGTTTTATATCGTACTCTGTTCACAGCATTATTTCAAGAACATCTCTCTATGCCTTTATACTTCTTATTTCTTGCTAAATTCCAAGGAATTCTTTATGTTCTGAAATTACAACTCGTAACACCTAACACAATCCACAGAAGGGTTCTCCGTGCAAATAAATTAAAATACTTAAGTTAGGTCAATTTAAAAAACAAAGAGAGTTGGGAAGATAAATTATCTGGCTCTGCAGTGGCATGTTGGATCAAGTATAATATAGCAAAGTATCAGTCTTACAAAAAAAGTCAGAGGAAAAGATTATGCTCAAAATTGCTCCTGGCTGACCGGCCTCCGGGTTATTAATTCAAATGTCCCTCCTATTGGTGTTGTTAATGGCTTCAAACAGCTCTTGTCTCCTCTTATGCAAGGGGAAGGTTGGACCTCTTCCAAAGAAAATAGCAGTAGCAGAAGGAAGCCAACATTTGCAGCATTGTTAGATAAGTCCAACCATTAATTTTCTTCAACCAAGTCTCTTTTCAATTTTTCACAGATATTTCTTACACTGCCTAAATCTATAGTTAGACATTCCTAATACTTTAAAAGATTTCTACATACAAAAAAGAACTTTCTCATTTAATTAACGTTATGTCTCTTTTTTCTAGGCTGTTTCACCAACATAAAGCACAGAATGAGCAGTAGAATCTTCAGATGTGGTGTTTGTGGTTCTTAGTTGGTGACTAGGGATGCAGAGGGTATTTAGAATCTGGGGAACAAGGAAGGGAGTAAGCAGGAATGACTTGAAAAAATTTCTCACATGAACCTGAAATATCTCCAGGTTAAAAACTATTTAGAGATGCAGAAGCTTAGACCTTAAAGGTTCTCCAAGTTCAGCCAGCAATCTCTCCTGCTTCAGGTTGGAGTCCTCTCAGTTGGAACCCTTGACCTGTGCTTGAATATCTTGAGTGAGGACGACCTCACTGGACACTGAATGTCTGGGCCATGTTAATGTTTAAAGTATTTCTTCATCTTGATCTACATGGAGTATTTTGGGGTATCTTGAGTCCTTCCTCAGACAATCATAATTTTTCTTTTGGGAATAACCTGTTTTCCACTGAAGCAGCCTAGTTTGGACAAATAAATCTAGATGGGTGTCCTCCTGCTGTGGAAGGCAAAGGAATTCTGGAAGTCCTGTCAGATTCTTCCCTTCACTTCCCTGGGACACTCAGGGCCATGCATGTGACTATACTTGTCTAATAAATCTCTTGGTCCCGAGACTTGGATCTTGAGCAGAGTGACACAAGGATCAATGACATACTTGGAATTCTTTTATTCCAGAGACATGCCAGGCAAGATGGTGAAGAAGTTTCTGATACCAAGAACTTCCAAAGCCACCTGTTTCTTGAGAGTCCCCTGTCTGATCTCTTACCCTTTCTAGGAACTGGTGAGTTTTCTCACATACATCCAGTAAATGCATCTTTTTGCTTAAACAAGTCAGAAATGCTTTCATGTTCATAACCAAGCAATACTAACTGATATCATCTGTTACTTTCAACTTTACCCTACAGAGCCTAGTTCTGCTTTCTGCTGTTACACAAAGTACATCTGATCCCTCTTCAATATGACCTGCAAAATTTTAAAAAACATCTATCATTTACCTCCTAAGATTTCTTTTCTTCAACCAAATAACACCATTTCCCTTCACACTTGCTTGCTTCTATGGTTTATAGAGCCTTCACCGTTCTGTTTTCCTTGGCCTAGAGCCCAGTTTATCAAGGTCCCTCTTACAGTGTGCCATCTGGGATTGAAGCCATAATCTCCATTTGGTGCTTTGACCGGTTCAGATTATGGTCAGCTGTTTCCTAGCCTTGACCCGAACACTCTATTTATATGACTGCAAACAGACCTTGCTCAAGCTCTTATTAACTCTGTGTTATACTCTTGACTGAGATTGAGTGACACAGAGTGTGCATTTAAAAAGTTGTAGTTATTATTAATCACGACTCCCTCTGGCTTTTTCATAAGCAGTGCTATTGTCAGGCCACTCTATCTTGTAATCTTGCATTGCTTTTCAATATCTAAATGTGGCAATTAGCATTTATTCATATTAAATATTGCACCTTTCATTTTGGTGTATTCTTAGCCCAATGCAACTAAAAGTTTCTTGACACTTTCTAATCTTAGTAGTTTCTCATATATTTTTATCTTCTACTTATACAGCAAACATGCCTTTGATGTTTTCTTCAAGTCATTAGGAAAAGTCCTACACATTTCTAAATCACAGCACCAGATCTTTTCTCAGGCTGAAATCAATTCAGTAATCAAAATCAGCACCATGTATTATCCGCTGAAAATCCAACCAAATTACACTATATTTTTCCATCTCGTCTACAAGAAAATGATGAATGGTACTGTGTGATGTGTGGCTAATACTGAAATATACCATGTACATGTGGCAAGTTGGGCGGGCATCTGTGCAGTGAGGAGGCTGATTTTCCATCTTCTTTTATATTGGTACTGTTTTCTCCCAAACAAAACCCTAGGCAAAACCACAATACATAAAAGATAACCATGGGTAAATCAAGGTGAAGTAGAGTGTGGGTGGGCGATGGTTGGGCTAGGGGCCTGCTTGGTTTTCTGCTGACTTAGGTGCCCTTTAGTCTGGCCCTCACCAACACCCCATCTCCTTCTGCAGTCGCTTCAAGAAAGGATGACCTCTAGGGGCTTCAGGCCTTAATATTGTGATTTAAAACATCTCAACCAGTAAGCTTTTCCTTTTATTTCTTCTTCTGTCTTCACCTCTACAAATGTCAGCAGGGGAAGCCAAGATTTTATCAGATAGTCTGATTTTAGTAAGATTCTATATTATCTTCAAAATGTTATTGAAAACCTCCTATGTGAAGCAGTTCATGTTTGGAGCTGTTGGTGAATCATGTGTCTCTTGCTTAATACATTTATTAAAGGCATAGCTGACAACATAAATGACAAAAGTATGAGTGATTATTAACTTTTAAAAGGCAGAAAAGATGTGTAATACAGCAACCATTGATAATTTCCTATCGTCTTGTTTTACAATTCTGTATCATTTTTATTGTTGTTGTGTTGTTTTGTTTTTGTCTTTTGTGGTTATTTTGTTATTTTTTTCTCTTAGAAGCAAGAAAAGGCAGAATAGAAAAATCTTCATAAACCAAAGTGAAGACTTGGAATTTTATATAGAAATATATGTAAGATGGTAAATATTTAGATTCTAAAAAGTAAAAAAATGAAACGTACAAGTACAGGATTGAGAAGTCTAATGTAGTTACATTTTAGCTTTTGACTTTTAGTAGGATTTTCAGGGCCAGGGTGGTAGAAGATGGTGTCACAATTTATGGAGAGCTTGGAGAGGCTAAAAGCCAAGGGCTGCTGCTAACAGTTATCAGCAGAGTGATTCTGAGCACAGCTGCTTCTCCATGCTCATTTTGTCCTCATCTGTAAAATGGAACTCTGTGCCATTGGGCTAAAGGAAATAACTAATAGATTATTGGCATTTGATGTTGATTAAGTTTAGTTTTGAGTCTTACATTAGACTTCTGTCACTGTAACAAAATATCTGATATAAGTAGACTTAAAGGAGGAAGGTTTATTTTGACCCATAGTTTCATATGTTTTCGTCCATGGTTGATGGCTCCATTGCTTGTGAGCCTGTGGCATGGCTGAGCATCATGGTAGGGACCTCATGGAGGAGGGGAGAGAGAGAGAGAGAGAGAGAGAGAGAGAGAGAGAGAGA